CCTTCACTCAACTCTATAGGGTTTCAAGGTACAACGTCCAGATTGAGAATAACTTCCATTTAACTGAAGCTGAATTTGTCTGTAATTGGACTGAGTGGATTCATCCATCCATCCATCCATCCATCCATCCATCCATCCATCCATTTTCTTTACACCCTTGTCCCTCAGTGGGGTCAGGAGGGTTGCTGGTGCCTATCTCCAGCTAAAGTTCTGGGCGAGAGGCGGGGTACCGAGTGAATTTCAGAAGATAAATTTGATCTGTGTTTCTTGTAAGCTGATGCAATGTCAGTGAACTGGATTTAAAGATTTGAATTTAATTGATCATTTGTTTAGTTTTCACTTGTTTACAAACTTGAGATTTTAACACAGTTCAGTGGGATTTGGAGTCATTCCCAGATCCAAGTTCAGAGGTAAATGAGACACACTGAAGCACCAATTTGTTTTGGGCATCCTTGAAATCTTTTCCATTAAGCTCATCCTTAAAGTTAGTCTTAGCTTTTATTGTAGCTTAAGTTATATGGATCATCAAATCATCATTTTGGCTGATGTAGGGGCTAAGGACCACAGTGATTAGGTAAGATCTGAAAATACTTGAGACCCTCTCTAAAAACGCTTATAACTGGCTTGTTTAATAGTTATAGCATCAGATATATCTATCTAAAATGTTTTTAACCCAAAAAAGTATAAGAAACAACTCGGTTTTGTTTTTCTTTTTACCAAGTACTTCTTTACTCATACTTGAATGGATGACTAAATTTTATTTATGAATGAAGTGTTTCTATTACTTGAGTAAAATTTTCAGCTACTCTACACACCTCTGGCTCTGAATCGCTGTTAATTTAATATTTACTTTTTAAACCACAACCACACAAACTGTATCTGGGTTCTACTAGAAACTCCCAAACAAGGTAAGAAAAACAGGCAGGCTTCTGCTCTAAAAATGACTAAATGTCGACATCTAGTGGAGGAAAGTGGGATGTGCCGTTATTGGTTTGATCTACTGGTTTTACTTGGATGTTCAGCGACAAAAACTGTAAGCAGAGGCCTTATTGTCACACCATCGGTAGAATCTTCAGTAATGCGGCTTTTATATCGTCGAGTCCGGACTTGTACACCGACCTGATCCCGCTGCAGGTATGTTAGCTCCGCTGCTAGCGGCTAGCCTCGTCTTCAGCTCCGGGTGGCCAGGCTGCCGTTAATGTCAGCAAACGGCTAATATGGATTAAACGGAGCAGAAAGACCAGCCCTGCCGCCGCGAACTGTTCGGTAATCGGGGTTAGAAAACCGAAAAATAGAACCAGCTCATATAAAAATATCATATTACTTTTCCCTCTTACAGTCAAGCAGATACAGCGGGACAGCGGTATATGTAAGCGTTGGTGGTATAGTGGTTAGCATAGCTGCCTTCCAAGCAGTTGACCCGGGTTCGATTCCCGGCCAACGCAAATGTTATTTTTTATTTTTTATTTTTTTGTTCTGTAGTGTTTATTTCAGAATTTATTAAAAATGTATATGTTAGCTATTTATCACGAGACTATCACAGTAAAATGTATGAATTACATATAAAAAAGCAGTCAAGTACATGTATTGACTACATAATACAATCTTGTTCTACCTAAATTTTATTTTTAATTAGTATTGTGGATTTTACCAACTTGAATATTATGGATACTAACATAGAAACTGGATCTGTTTGAAGTGTTCTGTTGAATAAAGTACATTATGTACAGTATTATTATGACTGGAGTTCCTGAATGTTGTGTTACCTCCGGCAGTGAGTCCAGATATGGGGCGGTACTTCTACAGCGAGGCCCACATCAAGAGTCCATGGTATCAAGTTCTGGCTGCTTTCTGGCAGCGCTACCCAAACCCATACAGGTAAGTCAGTTAATTTCTCTACATAGTGACCTCGACATCATAAAAACATTTAAATGAAATGTGTGAGTCCTCTTCAAATCAGGCAGTGGACATGAACTTTAACCTCTGGTAGATCACTATCACCTTCAATCACCACACAGCTCAGCTGGTGAGTGGAGGTACATCTAAAAAAAATACAATAATTCGATATTTTTCTAATTCAGAAAGTAAAAATCATTTTATATAAATCAATTCCACATTGATTGACATTTTAAGGTTGAGTATGTTTGGGTCTTAAGCAGTTAGGAGCTGATTGGACCTCTGGTTTTCTGTGCCAGCACTCATGTCCTCACAGAGGACGTCCTGTACCGTGAGGTCACCCCCACCAACCTCTTGTTGTCACGGAGACTGCTGACCAAAACCAACCGGTTGCCAGGATGGGCAGAGCACATCTTTCCCGCCCACATGGCGCGGGCCGTCTACATCCTGGAGGACTCCATCGTGGACCCGGAAGCCAACACCCTCGTCACCAAGACCTGGAACCTGAACCACAACACCCTGATGGTGAGACACGGCAATGTTTCTAGAGAGGTCGTCTGTGTCCTGTCTGAGGGAATTACTGCTGTTTCATTATTGATTTGGAGTAAAATGTCCAGTTCTAATCCTCTCAGACGGTGGTGGAGCGCTGCATGTTTGAACAGGATGGCACTCAGCCCACATGGACCAAACTAAAGCGAGAAGCTTGGATCTTCTCTTCTGTTTATGGGCTGGCCCGGCCCATTCAGGTAACACAGAAACTCCAACAGTTTAATCAAATCTTTTAAGACCTGGACTCAGTGTCTTCAGTTTGATGAACCTCAGAATTATAGAAAAAAAAGTGTGGATAACACAGAGGTGTGCATTGTACCTGAACCTGAAAGTATCCTTAGGACATGTGAACGTCCTGCATGGTCCTGGATGACAGCAGTGGTCCCCTGTGGTTGATGTGTCCAGGTAAGTCGTTTGTCTAACTGTCCCTGTCGGTCCACCAGGAGTTTGGCGTGGCGCGGTACAAAAGCAACCAAACTCAAGCCATGAAGGGGCTGGACTACGCTCTGACCAAGATACAGAGTGAGACAAAGATTAATATTTATCTATCTCACAAAAAGATCTCTTACTTACCTCACCAACACAATCACAAGGTGACTCAACAGCTGGGTGGTAGTGGACACCATTCAGAGTAGCTGCAGCTTGTTGTCATCCTCCAGATGGAGGATTCTGGTTCTGACCGTGGCAAAGTGGTCCAGACCTTTACCTTTAGTCAAGTCCTGAGCTAACTGTGGAGGTTCTGTTTTCTAGTTCATGTCTTTTGTGGATTGTCTGTACCCTTTGAGGCATTTTGATGCAGGAGCTTAGGGTACCGGGGTTACTTTTACTTTTGCCTCTTGTATTCCTTCTAAACCTAAAGCAAATGTCCATTTTCCTGAAAAAGTCTTGTTTGTGGCAGTTATGTACAGGATCTCTGGGTGTCTGGTTTGGGAACCTCCTGGTCTCATATTTGTATTTTAAAGGTAATCTGGTTCTGTTGGCCTCTTCAAGCCATGACGTACATCATGCACTGTAGCAGTCGGCAGCTGAGTGTAAAGCAGCTGGAATGAGTGTCTGCTCCTCGAACTCTTAGACTTTTTGCACCAACTCGTTTCCCACTGAGCAGTTTACTGCTACATGGTCATAAAAATTTATCTTTATAAAGACGAGTCTGGTAGACATTCGCTTTAAGTTTGCTTGGACTCTTCGCAGAGTCTTTAACTAGTAAAGCGTTGGGATAATAGAGAATGAGTTTGATTGTCTTACTAAGGAGGAGGATCTCTGGTTTTCACGTCCTGGATGGATGGATGGCACATTTTATCTTCCCTACATGCTTCCAGTTTGCTTAAAGATAAATTAGTGACTACTCTTCTCTGTTCCAGCTGTTTGGCCCTCACCAACATGGAGGTCCTTCTAATCAGCTCAGTCAGCTGTACCACAGTCATCTCTTACAACACTTTCCTCAAGAGAAACATCCTAATTTTACCTGTTGGCATTAGGTGCCATTTGTATCTCGATTTGTACACGAAGAAAATCTCTTTTAAAACCTTGCAGCTCTAGATAGTATTTCTATATAGTGCACTTCTTTAATTCCACCACTAGATGTCACTGTATGTAGCAACTGGTACCTTTAATGTCAGTCCTTCAGTTTTACCAGCATATTTCAGCTCATTTTTGTTAAATAAAAGATATTAATATACTGAAATACGATCTTTCTCCAGATATCTAAAGAATCAAATTGTTTTTAAATTTGTTCCAGCACATAAAACATTAAACCTGAAGGTGTACTTACTTATTACCACGATTGTATTTGCTCTTTAAATGTACTTTGGATTAAAATATGTTCAGTATTTTACCAAAGTAATACAGCTTATTGCATCAACCAGTCTGTTTTCTATTGTCTTCCTCCAGGTGAAGAGCTTCCCCATCTCCATGGCGACCAGGAAGAGTCATCCAACAAGCCCCGCCCACCAAAAGCCCCGCCCACTCCAGCCAAGAAGCCCAATCAGTTCGCCTGAACCGGTTACAGCAAGTAAACAAAAACTGCTGTTCTGAACCTCATTGGCTGTAAAAGTTACAAATTAAGATTGGTCACCTTAGATTTTCATTTTTTATTTGAATAGTCAAGATTTAAAATTACTTTTAGTTTTATTAATTTATTGAGCATCGTTGTCATTTTTACACAAAGAAACAAATGATTTTATATGTATTATTACAGTTCTTGTTCAATAAATGTCTTTTTTTATCTACCATTTTTTATGTGTCTTTGTTTCTTGCATTCAATAAACATCATTTATAAAATACACTACTAATTCAGTCACTTATATTGAGTTGAAAACACGTAACTTTGTTCAAATTAGTTGCACTTAATATAAAAATGTAATATTAAATGCTGTGTCAGGTGAAGGCTTTGAGGTGAAGATAAATTAATATAATGTCTGTTAGCAGCTTATCAGATTAACGTCTCTGTTGTTCAAACTGAAATTAAACTATGATAACGACGCTGTTTCCTGTTTTATGTATTCAAGGAGTTTAGTTTCATTTTGAATAAAATATGAAACTAATACTTTAACTTCATGTTGACAGGAGCATAACTTTATTCAGATATTGAGGTGAACCAAAGTTCACTTCAATTGTCTTTGCAGACCAGAAATAATTCATAAAAACAACGTAAAAAGCAAAGTTGAGCAGATATCTACAGTTAATAACAAGCACTGACTTTCTTTATGAAGAACAAACTTATTTACAGTTAAAACAACTGATGTTTAAAATGAACTTTATCAGAAACAGTGAGGAAATAAAAATAAAGGAGAAAGCATCTCTATCATGACGCTGCTTAATCAATTCACATTCTGCTGGAGTAAACTTAAACATTTGAAAATCACATTTTTATGCAACATCTTGTGTTAGGAAACTAACATAAGATGAGACTAACATAAGAATAACAGTTTACACTGAGCAAATACAATTCATCCACAAAATAAAAAAAAAAACAAAAAAACAAAATTAAAAACACAAAATATTTTTGAAAAAGTTAACCAAGATGTTCAAGACCAAAATATCACATTTATTGATGAAATTATTGAAAATCATCACAGTTAATAGTATTAATAAAGGTTATTTAGCAAAAAAGATTACCTAGCCAATATTTAACTGTGTTGTAGAACATGTAAATTATTAAACTGTTGTCTCTTACAGATATAATTTAAACTGAAACTATCACTTTAGCATTAGCTTTCACTAAATACTGTTTGTTCAGTGTCATGAATGAATGTTTGTGATTAGCGCTTTAGAGTTAGCGTAGCTAATCTTTTATTTACCCACCACTGGTTATGAGGATCAGGGTGTTGTTTTAAATTCTGTTTTGGGTGTAGAAAATCACAAGAAGCCAAACTGTGGTGGGAATAAATGGGCCGGTCCGGCCTGGTGGTCGTGATGTTTCATGGAGGAACCGCAGTGGCCTGCAGGTCTGCTGCTGTTTCTCATAATTTGTAGCCTTTTTGTTCGAAAAACTGCGCTCTGGCGATGATATCATTAGAGAAGTCCTTTGTCCGTGTCTCGCTGTCCAGGTGATCGGGTTGGTCTAGAGGGACCCGCTCCAGCCCAGTCATGTACCCGACCAGCGCTCCTGGAACACACGTAGCCGGTCTGGTTAAAGGCGACTCCATTAGAGCTGCACTTTTTTAAAGATGTTTTTTTTTACACATTTTTTAAAACTGTCACCATGTCCTGACAGATAATCTGTGAAACGATCGATCTCTTCCACCTCTTTCCTGAGCTGCTACTGCTATTTGAAGAAATGCTTCGCTCCCAACCAAAACCAAACAATCAGAGCAAGAAGGAGGGTCTTAGCGCTGTCAATCAATCTCTACTAAATGTGCTAATAGCGGAGAAACAACTTACCCTTACAGGAAAGTCATTTATCCGCCATCATTGGTGGCCATGCTAACTAGCCTTAGCATTCACAATGGGTCCATGCATCAGAAGAAGCTCAACACAATAAATCTGGACATAAATAATGTCTGAAAATTATAATTCTGAAAATTGTGAGAGAAGTCTGCAGTTTGTTGGGTGAACAAACTTATTCACATGATTTTAATTGTGTGTCTTATTTAATAGAAACATCATAATATGGAAATTGTGTTTTTTCTAGATAGCAGAATATCAACACCGTAAGTTTTCAGTCAGAGACTTTTAGCATCCTCCCAGTCTGAAGACACATCTTCTACTGCTGGCTTCATGTAGGAGGGGAATCCAGCCCCTCAAGAACATTTGGAAAACTATCAATGAAGACCGCTATGGAGGGAATGAGAGAAAGTTTCTATTTGGAAGAAAAAGCATGAAGAAACAATGACTGTACCAGAACTTTAGAACCGGTCCATCAATAATTTAAAGCTGTTAGTTTTTCACCTTTCAGCTGCATCTCTTCTGACCAATCAGGCTTCCGGTTCTTCATGTCCTTGATGAGGTGAATCAGGCAAGTGCTTCCTTGATCAATGTGCTCCCTGCTGAACGCTGTTCCTTTCAGCTCATGATAGTCTTTATGGATCTGCAACAACAGGACATGGTATGAGCTGGAAGACCTCAGACACAATGAACCAAAGTCTCAGTCCTGCCGGTTAAAGTCTCGGTTCTGTCATGTTGGGTGTGTCTCCATTGGCAGTCTGTTCCTCACTGCTTTGTGGGCGTGAAAACAGCCGGACTATGAGCGCCCAGGACTGTGGTCCATGCTACGATGTTATTTTATGCATGTACTCTTGGGCGGCCAATTTCTCAGAAATCTCTTGCCCTGTCCAGTTTGATGCTATATCCACACTTCTGCCACAACTGATAAAAAGGTTTGGACATCAATGCTTCCCAAGGAATTAGTAATTTACTGCTTGCTATCTTACCAAGCAGGACAGCAATACAGAATGCAGTTTTCTGTCAATCTAAATGCTTGCATGTAACACGCTGCTTGGTGTGACTTGTGTCACCCCTTAAATGGTTACGGAAAAATGGAAGAAGAAGATCTACAAATGGAGACAAACTTGACTCTGAGTGGACTGGGAACAAATGGGTAAAGCCACGGCCATGGAGAAGTGAGTGTCACCACACAGACCTGCATGAGTCCGAAGCAGACGCTGTCAAGCTTTCCGTAGCCCTTACAGTCCAGGGTTCCTCCGGCGCGGGACTGTTTGGAGATGATGGCGGCGATCAGAGCGGGATGAAGACGAAGCCTGAAATGTTCACATAAGTCTGTCTGTTTATATCAAGGACACAAAGCAACAACTTTTGCAGTTTTGAAACTTACGCTTTTCCCACACTTTTGATGTCCTTTTTGTACTTAGACATCAGCTCCAGATCTTGCTGTGCCAACATTTTGGACACTTCAACGCCAGTCATCCCGTTTTCTGCAGAGGAATGTCATTCATGAGATGGTACTTTAAATCAGGCAAGCCTTTAAAACCTTTCCTGAGTGAAGGTAACTCACTGTTAGAGCTGTTTTTTTCCTTTGTGATTTTAGAGGCTCCAGTCGTCGTCATTTGGCTGAGGTTCCTGTACTCTGAAACACAGCAGGAGAACAGGAGGAGCAGGAATGACTGGAGGTCTGGTTGGATGGTGAATGTCTAGTTCTTGAACCAATAGAAACCATCCTCACCTGTGGGGGTCTCATTACCTGAAAGAGAAACAACAGAAGCTGGTTTTAGTCACATTGAACACAGTCAGTGGCCGTTGTTCCTGAGCACCAGGGTGGATAACCACGATCTACATTACTGACAGTTGGATGGTGCGTCAAGGTTTATCGTTCGGAATGTTAATGCTGGCTTTTCACATGCTATCGAGCAGAGTTTCTGTTCCCAACCTCCGGGTTTTGGTAAATCTGCACATTGACTAAGTCAGTCTTTAGTTGGAACATTTAACAGGAAGCAAAGGCTCAGCAGAAAGGAGGAAACAACATCATCAGGTCTTTGTCATCTGAGAAATCTGGTCCATAAAAAGCAAACCTGCAGAAGAAACTCATCTTGTAATTCATCTTCTTTCTGTCTCCTGTTAATCAACACTGGAAGTCACAGATGAAAGTCAACTCAGACTAAATAAGTCTTCACTTTGAAAGGAAAGTAAATGCAGAAGTCCCACCTGACAGAAAACCTTTGAGCTTGTCGATCAGGAACCCAACAAGAACGCCCACGATGAAGGGTGGAAGGATGGTTTGAATCATGGAGGAACTCTGGAGATCCACAGCACCAGCAGTTTTACCATATTCTGTAGAACCAAATGAGTCAGAGATGCCATATGCAGAATATTATTCAATCTCCGTCACAGTAATCAACCTCAGTCCCCACCAACCATGCCAAGGCAAACCCTTGGACCAGATGGTACAACTTCCCATGTTTCAGTAAACCTGAAACTCTTCCAGTTTTGTCGTGTGCGGGTCAGTAGCGCGCCGCAGAACAAAGTACCATCAGATCTCAGGAGCAAAATAACCTGTAAATACCTTTTTAACTCTCTCTAGAAGTTTCAGGAAAGAATCCTGAAATTTTCAAGAAAGTGTCAGTGAGTTCCAGAGAGCACCCTTTACTCTTTACGAAGCACCCATAAGAAAAAGTACATAGTACTTTACTGAGAGTATTCTGTAAAGACTGAGAAAGTAGCCAGGAACTATCATTGAAATATGGGAAAGTTATTTCACTTTGGTAGTAATATTCCAGTAAAGTTCCCTGTAGGTTCCATTGAAAAACATGTAAGTTCCAGTAAAACACCAACATGTTCCAGTAAAATAATCCCAGTAAACCCTGTGGGCACCAGTAAGGTACTCTGTACTCCATGCCGCTGTTTTTTAGTTTTCAGCAGTTATGAGGCACAAACCTTAAACTTCAACAACAGGTTGTTGCTAGGTAACCAAAGAGCGAGTGAGTTAGTTGACGCCACCAACCATTGAGCCGTTCCTCTGCCTACATTTCCCAGAATGCTGTGTGATTCTGGATCAGAGTTCAGGGAAAGTGTTGAATATTAAAATTAACATACTTTTTATTTGTGTATGTTAATTTTAATATATGTTGCAATAGATCATGTGTCTATTGCAACATATATTGTTATTGACTTATTGCCCAGCCTTCAGCTCCAGTAAAGTAACTTTTAGGGCTCCAGACCTGCAGATGCAGAAGTTGATCTGTATCATCTTAGTTCAGTATTTTTGGTTTGTTTTTTGTTTCTGCATTTTCAAAAATTAACTTGTACAAGCAGCAGATGAAGCTGCTGCAGAGAAACAGGAAACAGAAAGTCTTGTGCATTTTCACGCCAGACTGAGAGTTCAAACACCGTGAAGGTCGTTTACAATCAGAAGCTTCAAAATGAAGAAGTCTTGTGGCAGGAAGGAGTCGCAGATGAACAAACACAATGGATAAATTCATAAAAACCTTTAACAGATCATCAGTTTTTATCTAATCCTTCTGACACTGAATGCTGTTTACTGTTAAAATATGTCGAGATAAAAGTAGCTGCGTCTCCTCTGGAAACCAAACCTTGTTTAAAAACTGTCCGATTTAAAATCGAATCCAGAATCAGCAAATTGATTTTTAGTTTAGAAAATAATGTTCACATTATCTACATACAATAAAGTTAGTTCTTTAATTCGGCTGTAAAGTTATGCATTGATCTTTGGTGTAGCAGAAAAGCTGAGTTAAAAACCAGGGTTTGTCTCACCTTCCATCAGCAGAGCAGGAGACGTCTGACCTGATCTGCAGAGATTTCCTGCTGTGTTTGGGTGTTTTCCTCACAGCAATGATGCAATGATGTCGGCTGACAGTTTCACACATTCAGCTGCTGCCCAAACCTGCACATCATCAGCTAAACATCAGCTTAGATATATTATTATTATCAGAGTTACTATAACTGTGAAGCACTCTGTGAAGTTTTTTCTGTTTTTGATCATGCAATAAGTATAAAGTTGAGTTGGTGAATAAGATGCAGCAGAACATGGGAAGTAAACGAGGTGAGACTTCCTGCAGTTGAACTTTTTACATGAAAAGCTGAGTAAACAACACGTAGCTGCTCATCTCCAGCAGGCGCAAGAAGCAAAGTGACGCCGTGGGTTTTTACATACACAACCACAGACCTGGTTGAATCAGGGTTTAATGTGAGCAGCAGGTCAGGCTTTGCTTCTTGCAACTTCTAATCTGATCAGCTTCCCTGTTCCTGCTGAGCGATTCGCTTGTAGGCCGTAAAGGACCACGATGCATCGTTTTCTGTTAATATTCTGCATTAACAGTAGTGGGGATGTTTATGCTCTTTTAGCTTTACTTAACAAATACATGCAAAAATCCACATTTACAAATAGCTTGGAGTCTCATGTTCTAGTCTGTGACAACCACACGAGGTTGTCACAGAGGAGAACATGATACCCACCATTTGGAGGGTATCCAAATGGTGGAAGTTAGCCCTTTACCATTAGCTTGGCTAAATACTATGTTGGTATAAAGGGTTACCATTAGCTTACGCTAAATACCAAGTTTTTATAATGCTTTAGCATTATCCATCCATTTTTTGTACACCCTTGTCCCTAGTGGGGTCAGAGGGTGCTGCTGCCTCTCCACCAAACGTTCCAGGCGAGAGGCGGGGTCACCTGGACAGGTCACCAGTCACAGGGCAACACAGAGACAGAAAGGACAAACAACCATGTACACACACATTCACACCTAGGGAGACTTTAGAGAAACCAATCAACCTGACTGTCATGTTTTTGGACTGTGGGAGGAAGCTGGAGTAACCCGGTGAGAACCCACCATGCACAGGGAGAACATGCAGACTCCATGCAGAAAGACTCCGGGCCGGGAATCGAACTGTGCAGCCTGCTTTAGCATTAGCTTCCGTTAAATATCATGTTGGTACAGCACTTTACCATTAGCTTAGCTTGGCTAAATGCTGCTTTGATATAGAACTTTACCATTGGCTTCTGCAAATTACAATGTTGGTTTAGCGCTTTAGCGTTAGCTTCCGCTAAGTACCATAATGATATAACACTTTAGTGTTAGCTTCTGCTAAGTACTATGTTGGTAAAGTGTGTTAGTATTAATGGACTTAGTGTTTGATTAGTGCCATAGGATTAGCACAGCTAACATTTTAGCACTACAGTGCCTTAGTATTCAGTGATCCTAAGTTGATTGTTGAACTTTATTTTTCACTGAACTCAGGTCTTTTAGTGAAAATTTTCTACCAGTTTTGATGCATCTTTTCTTTGTAAAACATCTCAGGTTCAGTCAGACTGGATGAAGAACAACTGCGAACATCGTCTTTCAAACCTAGTTTTTCTCCTGTGTAAACACACACAGAGAGAAGAGGTCATGCTGAGTGCAACAGGTTCTTTCTGCAGTGAAGTGGAAACCGCAAAGAGCTTCTCATCTGCCGCACCCGTCTCTGCAAACTTCAGAAGAGCAGGAAACCAAATGTTTGTGAGCAACTTTCACTCAGGAGTAACCCCAGAGAGCATCTTTTTTATCTCATCACAGTCACTAAAACGTCTCATCAGATTTGACTAGGCTGAAATGATCCACTACTGCAGTTTGCAACTCAGAGACGCAGAGCTCAGGGCTGCATTAGTGTCATTCCTGTCGCTCTCAGAGAATTAATCTGAAATAAAGTTCAAAAGCTGAACAATGATTCTCTGTTAAATCAAAATAACGAAAAATAAGATCGATAAACGCAGCTATTGCCAGCCCGCGAAGGGGATCTGCTGCCGCCTGCTGGCTTTATCATGTAACTGCATGGTTTCGGTCAAATATTGTTACTTCATAATTCCCTTGAATCACATAATTTACAAAGTATCTTCATAATTCCCTTGAATCACATAATTTACAAAGTATTAGAGAAAAACATCAAACAGCAGAAAGAATCTGGACTGTAAGACTAATTAACTGTCTAATAATCAGTGAAATAGAAACGTAAGTACACATTTTAAACGCTTTTTTTTCTCTTTTTAGCCATTATTTACTCCAAATGAAGTTGAGAAACCGAGGAAAATGAACAGATTTATCCACTTATTTATGTTCCATTTATGTAAATACTCTGTAAGCGTATTGTTCATTATAAACAACAATGACTAATAAGCAATAACCTGTTGAAGAGCAGAAAACATATTTTATAAACGGGAATTTGGCCTTTTAAGAGTAAATGTCAATTAAATCTTCTTATTGCAGCTCCAGCTGTTGACACACGGTCTAAAAAAAGGTTTTCAAACACCCTGAATATCTCACATTTTTGTTCTATTAATATTATTCAACTTACAAACATCGTTATGAATGAAATACTGTAAATAGGAAAGAGATTATTTAAGTAACTTTATTAGACAGAAATAAACAAATTAATAAATATATAGGAACTTTTCAGACTCATTTTGCCATTTTTATGTTTTCTGCTATGAAGAAAATCAACATGTTGCTAGAAGTTTTCCGACATAAATCAAGAAGTTTCTCCCTGTTGCTAGGAGCTGCAGCCTTCCTCTGATTGGTCCGCAGCCTCTCTGCTCGGACCAATCAGAGGCCAGAGCGCCCGTCATCAGAATCCATAATCCGTCTGTTTTTATCCTCATTTTCTCCGCCTTTTGACTGGTTTCTGGCTCCGCGGCTGGTTTCTATGTTTGCTGGCTGGATGTTTGGACAGGACCTGCTGGCTGAATCCCGAGCAGAGGCTTAAAACCGGCAGACTGATACTGCGGGATCTGCTGCTTCTGCTGCTGGAAGTCCAACTATCACAAACACACACAGCGAGAACTTCCTGTTTACCGTCCTCTTTTGTCAGCTTTACAAAATAAAAGCTGATTAAACCATTAAATATTTGTATGTTTTGTCAAATATAATCATTTTACTGATAGAGTTCAAATCTGTGACTAAATTTTAATTAAATTCAAATTCAAAAGTACTTTTTTAATCCCAAAGGGGAAATAAATGTAATTAAAAATGTTTCAGCTGTTTGTTTTTATTCATTTACTTATATTTATATGTTCAATTAGTTAATTTTTAATAACAAATTATTGTTAATTTATTTAGTTTCGTTTTATTTATATGTTTTTGTTTGTTTTTATATATTTGTGCCTTTATTTGTTTGGTTTCATTTTTATTTATTTAAGTTATTTTGTCAGTGGGTGTTCAGATTTAAACTGTTTCCAAATCAACGTGTGAAAAGTTCGGTGCTTTTACTTTGAAGGTCTCCCGCCAGACGGCGGAAGTGCTCGGCAAAGAGCTGCGCGGGCTTCACGTGCCGCTGGCGCTGATGGCGGTGGGGCTCGCGGAGGGTCGCACTGAAGCGGGAGCGCGAGGAGGCGGGAGACAGACAGCGGAACCGAGCGCCGACGCTCCGCCAAGCCAGCCGTGAGCACACCGAGCCGCGCTGCAGGGAGGCCCGCTGACTGGATGGAGGGGTACGGCTGTTTTTGTGTGAATATCCCGGAGGGGTGGTGGCTGTCTGCCGCTGGAGGGGGGCCGTCTGCTGGCTGGGCAACCCTGGACACCAGCGCCGTTATTTTTAAAACGCTCCGTCTGCGTGTAACCAGAGCCCGGTTATGTGGCCTTTATGTGGCCTACGTGCGTGTGTTGCGTTCGCTGACCGTGGGGCGTCATGTTTACCGGGCTGCAAATGGGGTGCGTGCGTGTGCGCGCGCGTGTGCGGCACTGCAGCATGCAGACAGAAGTTGGCCCGGTGAGGGACGCCACGCCGCCGCGGCCCCGTCAGTGCGGGGACCACCGGCGGCTTGGGGACATCTTGGTCCGGGCGGCTGCTGCTCCCTTCAGGGGCCAGCCGACTGCTAAAAATCAGAGGAAACGTCCCGATGAGGGCCGAGATTCTCTAAAACTGTTCCTCTGGGGAGCCAGACATTCCTAAACATGTGTGGCGTTAAGGAAGGAATGCTGGGAACATTTTGTATCTAGGATTACAGTGTGGTGAATATTTACTTACGCTGTGTTGTTCAAATATCACTGAGATTTCCTCTTGCATTAATGTTATCAACGTTTCATGATATTATTGACCCTCTGAAACACAAACTGCAGGAACCAGGGGTGTTTTTCTGCCTGACTGAATGTTCTCAGAATTTTGCTTTAGTTGTTTCTCAGTGTAAACTCCTGGTTTTAGTTTCTATTTAAATACATTTAATCTTTAAACATTTATTAAAATGTTAAATGAAGTACAGTAGACATCCTGTTTTCACAAGGATTTGGAACAACAACCTCCCTTAAATAGCTAAAATCTACAAATGTTTTAGACTCCCCCTAAAAACGCTTATTCCTGTGTTTTTTCAGTTTAAACACTAAATATACCATAGATATGCACTAATGTGCACAGTGGAAACTGTTATGGCTCTATAGCATCAGTTAACGTCAAAATGAAAATAATTTATATAAATTACAAAAAATAACAAACTCAAGCAAAACAAAATTTTTCCAAATCAGTTTTTTTCTCAATAAAAAAACGTCTGAAATTTTAACAAAAGTTAAAGTTTCAAATTTTTGGTTAAAACGTGTTTATTTTTCATTTAGTTGGGGTAGAAAATGCTGAAATCTTACTCAAATGAGAGCAGAGATACTTCATAATAAAATTACTCAAGTAAAAGTAAAAAGTACAACATAGTAAACATATTTCTAAAAGAAAATTTTTTCAAAAGAAGTTACTCAAGTTACTAGTACCAACTTTGTGCCCTTCTAGGTTCTGGGTGTGTAATTAAAGAGGTAGGTGCAATTGAAAAGATTCTGTAAAGATCAGTGTCTATTGGGGCTGCCTCCACCAGATAAAAATAAATAAAGGTAATAAACTTCAGATAACTAATAAATGGCTATTTTTAAGTCAGAAATGTATTTGTGAAACTGGATTTGCGATAAACGTCTTACGGTATCTCAACAGTACTGGGAAATATTTGGAATTTTTCCAACGGAGAGCAAAAAAATTGAAGAAATTCAAAATTAAGTCGGAAAACAGAAAATTTTAAGTCATGTTGGCGCCCCCTGATGGGCCACCTGCTCTACGCTCTGACCATCTTAAAGGAAAACTTACATTCAGCTGGAAGTAATGTATTGTAATAATTATATTTATGTGTTTATTTTATCTAGTTATTTTTATTATATATTTTTCCCTTTTTCCACCCTAGTTTTTCTTTAAGCTAATCACATCTCAGTTTGTATCATAACTTTGCTGGTTCTGTGTTTTGATTTTGAAAGTAAATAAAAACTGACATTTTTATGTAACCTCCAATAGACAGGTTGGATATAATGTGAAATATAACCTGATCAACAGGAGCTGACGATGTTGTCACAATATATGTACGTATTGTTTACGTCTGGATTTACGACGTCTGGCTTCTCCTGGTGCTGAATTATGTTGCATGTCTGACGTCAGTTATGTATAAAAGTTGGATAAAATGCAGTGTGACCCTTCTGGCTCCAGACTCTTTGAGAACCATCGGAAACGTTTCCCATTTAGTTCCACCCATGGCAGTGGCATAAAATTTACTTTTTTGAGGACGTGAAAAGATCAGACTGCTGTGAAAAAATCGTATTTGTTTCGCCTCAAAATTGTATAAAAATTCTGAATGTTTGAAGAAAACCGAACAACTTCTTTTGTTTGGTACTTTATGCATCGATAAACTTTAAAAAGAAAATCATTTTTAACTTTCCTGAAAATGTAGAGTCTAGGAATAAGTGGAGACATTCAGATTTATTTTCTGCAGCTTTTCCAGGACGGGGGCAGAGAGTTTACTTGTGTACCCATAAACATGATTTCCAACCTAGTCTCCAGAAGTATAGCTAAACATGTATGCGTGTGTGTGTGTGCGCGCAGTGGACAGAGTGGCTTCATTGTGTCTCTCGAGGTTAAGTCGGTGCAGAGATGAATATCAAACAGGCTGTAGTAGTGGCTGTGTGTCACGCTCTGTTGTTGTTTATCAATAAAGCGTTGTTTTCCTCTCTCTCCGCAGTCCAGGACGTCCTATTGGCCGTCGTCTCGTCTCGCCCCACCAGCCGCTCCTCTCCTGCTGCTGCGGCAGAAGCGTCTTGGTGGGATTCGTCTGAAAAATGACCCCAACACTGCCAGGCTAGCCGCAGCTTCACTGTGATCTCTGTCCTGCAGCTCCAACCTGCCAAGCGTTTAGAAACAGCCAGAGAATAAAAACAAACTGAGATTTGGTTAGAAACCAAACCACTTCGAACATGTAGGTGGACTGCGACCAGCACCAGATAGCTAACGGTGAGTTAGCGGCTTGAGGTAGACGGATAGCGGTGGCTCTGGCGTAACAGAGGGTGATCAGCGGGGGTGCGATGGAGTACCACTCCGGTGGCAGCCTGCCCCTGCTGGGGAGACCGCGGTACTGCCCCGGAGCCAACGCTAACGGAGGATATCTGTGTGAGACGGGACACTGCTGCGGAGAGACCGGCTGCTGCACCTACTACTACGAGCTCTGGTGTAAGTTTTCCTGACATAAGAGCTACACTTTTGATGTGAAAGTTTAGCTTTACATCAAAATTAGCTAAAATGCTAACATTAGCATCTGGGCTATCAATAGCAAGTAATGTTCCCCACTTAGCATACAAAAAGCAGTGTGTAAACTAAAACAAATGAAAATTATAATATTAGCTCATATGCATTTCTCTAAAAGAAATTTTATATCAAAATTCTCTAAAATGCTAACATTAGCATGGAGAATAGCAGTAGAAAATGTACCAACAGTAAAGTTCTCCACTTCATTTTCAGAAAGCAGTGTATGCTAAAAGCAGTGTGAATGTTAATGTTAGCTTATATGCATTGTTATGCTGAAAAAGCAACTAACAGCCTAGTTTAGCTTTTATATCAAAATTAGCTAAAATGCTAATATTGTTATGGGGGTATCAGTAGCATACAATATACTCAGTTTAGCATACAAAAGGAGTGTATCAGCTAGTAAAAGTTAAAATGCTAATATTAGCTTATATGTGTTTTTCTGCAGGAAACATTATTGCTTAAAGTTTTGTTTTTAATTAAAGAAATGCTGAACGACTTATTCTTCAACAAGGCAGCAAAATTTTAAATAAACATTTACTCTTTCTTGAAGTACTTTATGTTACAGTGCTTTGTTTACCTCTTCAGATTTCTGCTATTTTTGTTTTTTGTCACTGCTAATATCAAACAAAGATAGTCTGAGTAAATAAAAATAGATGATTTCATTTATCAGGGAATAAAACTTCCAGTCAAACAAACCAGGTCATATTCAAAAACATACTTTTACCCATTAAAATGCAAATTACAGATTTAACTTCAGGAAAAGAAATGACTTCAAATCAGTCTGACATGACGTAAGCTCTTGAATAGGGCTAAAACGATTAATCTGATTAGTAGTGATTAATTGATTATTCAATCAATTAGTAATTGTTAACTGGAGCATACAGACTGGAATAAAGGTAATTTGCTCAAAGATCAACACAGTTAGAGCAGTTTATTTGTTTTATTGTGTCAGGATTTTTTTTTTGTATGTGCTTTTCCGTTGTTTAATATATTAATATTTTATTTCATAACAGCTAAATATTTACAGTGTTTTGGGATTTTCCTTTAGACAATAAAAATACAACATTATAAACATTAACTTCATCTCAGAACCAAAATGATTCACTTTTTCTTCTGGATTCTCATTTATGAAGCTAAGTTAATTCAGCTTCGATGTGCCTGAACCAGAACTCTGAGCTGTGGTTCTGTTCTGACCGTCCTCAGGGTTCTGGCTGCTTTGGACCGTCCTCATCCTGTTCAGCTGCTGCTGCGCGTACCGGCACCGTCGGGCCAAGCTGCGGGTCCAGCAGCAGCAGAGGCAGAGAGAGATCAGCCTGCTGGCCTACCATGGAGCCAACTCCTTCCCCTCCTCCATGCTGGACCTCAGTGAGTCCAGCTGCTGGTTCTGACCCACTAACACACACAACGCCTCTGCTCTGGACTCCAAAAGAACCCTTATCAAACTTTACAACATGATGCTAAAGCATTCACACCTCATTTTATCACATCAACACAACAAAGTTTATTAAAGTTTAAACGATTAATCTGATTAATCACGATTAATCGATAAATGAAATATAATATGAAATTGATTAATCGTTAACTGGAGTATAAAGACTCTAAAAAAGGCCAAGAACAACAACCATCAGAGCAATAATTAAACCAAAACTGTACAAAAATAAAGCATTTTGTCTTTAATATAATAAAAACCTTCATCTGAACTCCTCTGTTGGGAGCTTTCGCTTCACCTGGTTCAGATCCTGTTAAGTAAAACCCTTTTAAGCACCTTTTGCATCCAGTTGTTAATCAGTTAATCAATAATTCGTCACCAGGTCAGCCCTGTGCTGTACTGATGCTTTTCACATGTTGTATTTTTTAGCTGCAGATGCATCTTTTACACTAAAGGAAATGACGTTATGGCATTTTAGGAAATAAAATGTTTATTTTTTTAATTGAAAAATTTATTGAATTATTTTTATTTTTAATATTGCATAAAATAATCTTAAGTGGTTGAATGAAAAATCAGAATGAACCATTTTTTATCTGATTAATCAATTAATCGTCAGAATTATTGATTACAAAAATAATTGCTTTAATAGAGACTCAGACTCAGTCAAAACTTTGTTTTGCCACAGATTCTCAATTGAAGTGAAGCCAGAACTTTGACTAGGCCATTCTAGCCTTGGTACAGTTGGGCTCAGTTTGCTAGTTAGTTGGTGGGTCCATTGGATTTTATTTGGAGCATAATTCAAATACATCACATTTTATTTGTGATAAATATTAAAGCTCAGAAGGCATTTATCTGCTACTTCCCAGTTATGCACCAGTTTGTGCTGGTTTAACTCAGAAAACTCCAGCAAAACTGATAACGTGATAAAATGAGAGAAAACTTTTGTAAAGGCTGTGCCAACGTTTATATCGTGAGTTTGATTGTTTTCTTCTCAGCTGGCAGACCTGATTCCTGCTGCACCTTAGAGCCAACCGTTAATTAACATTATTTCAGCAGAGACGATCCCTTTTACTGGAAATAGTTTGCAGGATTTCCAGCGTAGAAAAGATGAGAGGCTTTTTCATCCGTCAACACAATGAAGCCGGCTCTTGTTTTGTCCTTTTGTTTGCTGCTGACGCTCAGCTGATGCTTCTCTAATCTGCTTCAGTTACGAATCGCTGGAAATTTCCAGCTCAGCTTTATCGATCAGTCAGCCAAACTTTGTTTATGAAGCCGTTCTTGTGCAGTCGGTGTAACATAGCACAATTTACAGGGGCTAAAACGGCACTGACTCTAGATTAAAACAAAACACTGGATTTGTTCAAATGTAGCTTAAATTACCAACCAGTTCCATCACTGTTTTTGGTAGAAATGTCTACATTTTAAATAATTCACTAGTTGGTGTAGTAGAGTGGTAATAAAACACCAGACGTAACATGCATGAGCTAAATTTATAAGATAATAAATTACAAAACTATGGTTAAAAATAAAAGCCTTCAAATGACAAATGTCCAAAAGTAAAACAGTAAGAACAAAAATCCTTTCAGTTTCACAAAACCAGAGGGAATGATTGAACCTGAATATAATCTGTCACACACTGCAAATTTACAAAATCTTTCCACATATTTTTGGTCCAGTTTCTAGTGCAAATATCTGAAGGAGAAACTTTTCAACAAGATTCAGGAGTTTGTTTTAAGTAAATAATTTCTTAATATTGATGAAAAAGTTCTGGTTTTATTGGCCGTTTATTTCCCTAAAAACAAGACATTTTTCCTATAAGTGTTAAAGCTCCAGAACTGATAATAACCAAACTACCGTCTGTCTTATTGGTGGTTCTGATCCGGTTTCTCTGCAGGTTTCCTGGCGTCGCTAAAGCTGCCGTCCTATGAGGAGGTTGCGGCCCAGCCCTCCACTCCTCCTCCACCGTACAGCTCTGTTTTTACGACCCCTCGATACCCGCAGCCGCCGCGTGCCGCCGACCCGCACCTGCTTACGCAGCACGGCCCGCTGCTGCACCGACCGCTGAGCGACGGCCCGTCCTCCTTCAGCTCCGACAACAGGTAGACGAATCTTCAAAGCTGCGGGATGCAACTTTTATTAAAAAGGTTTTTTACATATTTGTTAAAACTGTAACCATGGCAGGTTGGTACTTCCTCCCTGAGCTACTATTGTCCTCTGAAGAAACGCACCAATCCCAACCAAAAACAACCAATCAGAGCCAGGAGGAGGGTCTTAGCGCTGTCAATCACCCTAGTGTATGTTCTGCTAAATGTGAAAATGTTGTAATTTACTGTTGCAGAAAAACCTTTTGGACGACATCATTGTTGGCTATGCTAACTAGCATTAGCATTCTTCTATTGGGAAGAATCTGTAGCAATACAGAGACCAAGGGGAAGGGTGTGAGCAGCGTATGATTGATACTGTTAAGATTGATATCAATCGCAATAAGCAATAAATTGATTAATCGCATCATAAATTAAAAAAAAAACTTCATAATTCATCTTATTTGTTGTTTCTGTTGTTTTGTTTATTTATTTTGGATATTTAAAATATCTTCCAGTTTTAAATGTTCATTAGAATCTAAAGTTAATTAATTTTTAGAATGTGATCTTGCATTATTTTGCCATTAAAAATGGGCTGAAAACCATATTACTGTTTATAGCGATAACTTCTGGGACAATTTATCATCCAGAAAAATTAGTTATCATGGCAGACAGACTAAGCCCCTCCCCCTGGCTCTGATTGGTTGTTTCTGACTGAATGGTGTATTTCTGTAGTTACCACTGGAGCAGAATCTGTCCTCCATGGTGGCAACATAGTGACATTTTTAACGAGTACGTAAAAACATATTTAAACTGCTGAGCTGATTGTTGTCAGACGTTTGACCTTTGACCTGTCTGCAGCTCCAGCTGTTCCTGCGACTCCTGCTGCCCCTCTTCTCCGTGTAGCTCTTCACTCTCAGCGCCCATCACCTACGAGACCGACACAAGCCACGCCTCCACGCCAAGCGAGGCCACGCCCCTCACCCTTGATGTCACCATGGAGACCATAGCGGCTGCAGCCAGCTGCCTGGCGGCCAGCGAGGCCCGGTTCGCTTCTGACAGACCGGCCGCCGCGGTGGCCGTTGACATCGAGGGCGCCGAAGACGTCAGCGCTCAGGAAGCCTCCGCCACGGACTCTTCCCTCCCCAGCCAGACTGTTACCGTGGCGGTGGTTACCAGGGCAGCGCCTCCTCAGCCCTCACCTGGCTCTGAGGTCACCCTCACCGTTGCAGCTTCGTCTCCTGGAAAGCTCGACATGCCTCCTCCATGTTCTCCGATCTTCAGCACCGGTAGCTCCAGTCCACTCCCCAGTCCGAGGCTCGATGCCATCCAGCTCCCTTCCAGTAAAATCACGAGAACCGGAAGTCTGTCAGGGCCTCCCACGCCAACAGCTAACCCCTCTGACTGCTGTGGACCGGTCGAAGCTCTGGAGACTCTTGATTCTTCGAGAACTTTTGATCCACCCAGTGCTCCTTCGACGCCATCAGCAACGTCTCCAGACGTTCTCAGAACTATGGCCTTGAAAGCAGACTCTGCCAGCCGTCTAACTCCTGATCAGGATGTTAGCGTTGTGCCAGCCGATGCACCTGTAACCCCGACCCAAACTATAGCGTCTCCAAACCCGACAAAGGACCAAGAACCACTGCTGTCTGATTGTACTTCAGCCATTATTGGCGCCCCTCTGATTCCAAAACCAACACATTTAAATCTCACCCCAGGTACGATTACACAAACCGTTTCATCTCCATTGACTCAAAACTTAGAACCATCTCCCGGGTCGGGTTTGGCCCAGATTCCCTCAAGCCCTGGGTCAGGGCCTTCCCAGCACTCTTGTCTAGTTTTGACTGTAAACGTTTCTGGACCGAGTCCAGAGCTGCGAGGTTCATCTGAGTCAAACCTTCTCGCACCATTGCCTTCAGATGTTCAGGCTAGTTTTAGCTCTGGATCAGGATCGCCAACCCTCCTTCCGGTTCCGGTAGACGGCACTTCTTCTTGTCCAGCAATCACGATCGAGTCTGAAACTTGTTTCATGTCTTCTCCGTCGCCCCTTGCGGTTGTTTCTCCATCCTCACCCCAAACCCCTCTTGTGGCACCAGCATTACTCCTGGACCCCCTCACCGCTCTTCACCCGTCCGACAAAGGCGGTTCCTCCTCCGGCCACGCATCCTCCCTCTCCCCGTCGCCCCGCGCTACTCAGTCTCCACCGAAACAGACCGTCTTCTCGCCGTGCGTGGACGTCTTCGAACCCGGACCCGCGTGCTGGGAGGACGGAGACGAGGAGCAGGCCGCTGGGGACAGAGAGGAGGACGAAGACGATGACATGGGAGCGGACGAGAGCCAGTACCGGCACCGTCGTCTTACCGGCGACTCTGGGATTGAGGTATGCAGATGTCGAGTAGAGGAGGAGGAGGATGAGGATGAAGAAGAGGAAGAGGAGAAAGACGGAGACACGGACGTGCATGATAGCGTGGATTGTCCCGCAAGAAGTCAGATGAGCACAGGGGACGAACTTACGCCGTGCAACCCCTCCACCTCGGTCACCACGTCGACCCCTGAAGAGAAGGTCATTATCGTCATGGAGACAGTGTAACCGATGAAAGTCGATGGTTCAGTTCCTCGCTCTGACCTGGAGGACGCCAGGCAGCCATCAAATTTAGAAGATGCTTCTCGAGCGTCGTGGTTGTGAACCTAGACGATGAATGCACCGGTGTTAGAAAGATTTGGTTCGGAAGTCATTTTATGGACTTTGGTGCCACGTTCACCAGATCTAGAGGCGTCTGTTTCATTTCAGGATGATTGAGCTAAAACTTAGCTCTTCTTCCTTACCTAAGAGATCTCCATGTCCTGAACACTCTTTAACACGTATTAAATAACACTGTAACCCAATCTTTGTTGACTCGCATCAACAAATTTTAATAAATCCTCTTAACAGTCAAATATGGTTAGCATCGATCCAACTACATAAATTTGCACACAAGGGGGAAATAATCTCCATGTGACGCAAATACGGCATAAAAGCTGCACACGTGTTTGTCTGAGGTTGAAATCGTGCCCCTGCAGGCAGTGACGCTTTCCGTCTTTTGCCCATAAATGAGCATCTTTAAAGAGTCGAGCATTCAGAAGGCGGCGATACCTTCCACTGCCGTCTTGGATGATGACGGAGGTTTGGAAATGTGCCGGGAACAAGTTGGCTTGCTCTGAAAAAGGAAGAGAGCCCGGTGTAGGTGGATGATTCACGGCGCCTGATTGACGGAGGGGAGACTGATTCACTGGGTTTGATGGCTGGGTCTGTCAGCAGAGCAGAGTTAGGTTTGCAGTTAGCGAGTGGAAAACTTCAAGGCGGACAGCTCGGCTTGGCTTGTGTTGCGTCGACATCTCAGCAGAGAAAAGCTCTTACATGAATGTAAACAAACAATGGCTGCTTTTAGAGCGAAACAAAGCCCCAAAGAGAGCAGAGGCGGAGCGTGTCATCGCCCCGTCTTTGTCTCTTTCTCGGAGTGTGAGGTCAGATCAAACAATACGCCGTAGACGCCTCGATCTCCGTCACTTTCTGGGTCTCTTCATTCATAAACGCCCCTCCTTCGTCTTTAACTTTAGCAGATTTGAACAATAGTACAAAACAAATTGCAGAGCAAACAGAGACATTTCAAGGCCTTTTAAAAGAATAAGTCACGGCAAACGTGTTTAAAGAGTTTGGTTTATTTTTAGGTCGGTGTTTCGTACGTTGTGAGCTTGATAGACAAGTCAGTGTACATATTTTGTGACACACAGAGATGGAGTATATTTTATCAATGAAGCAGTTAGTAGTTGTTTTGTACATGCTGCCGTGTTTCAGCTCACCGTAGGATCTGGAATTGGAAGTGAGATGATGAGCAATATTTTTATTCTAGAGAGTAAATAAACCCAGAGAAAAGTGAAAATACAGCATCAGAAACGTCAGGATGAAAAAGTTTACTGTTAAGGGTTAGACCGATGTCTTTAGCTGATGAAAAGTTTTAGAAGCAGTTTTGAGCAACTTTGAAAAGAAAAACATTTCATCGTGTTGAAGGGGGTTGGTGTTTATCTCCTACGGTCAAATGATAAGAGACGCATCTGAAGCAGGTTCCCAGTCCAACACAGGGTTAAGAAATGTGTTGATATAATCCAATCTATTAGGAAATGATGCATCCATCTATCATCTATACAAGGCCATGAGGGCCTAGTGTCTGTCTCTCCCGGTCAGTTTGGGGAACAGGGGTACACCTTAAGGCTCCAGTCCGCCACAGGGTCAACAGTTACCTGCACTTTACTGGTGACTCCCAACGTTTTTCAGAATAGTTGGGAGTTGTTTTCTTGGTGCAAAAAAGTTTACAAATGAGGCTGATGAAAAGTGTTTAGATGCATTTTTGTTCAACTGAGGAAAGAAAAAATGCTCCATGTAGGGCGTTGGTCTCTTGAGGTCAACGGACAAGAGACACCTGAAGAAGGTTCCCACATGGTCAAGACATAATCCAGTCTATTAGGAAGTGACACGATCCACCATCTTCTTTACAAGGCCATGAGGGACAGACTGGTGTCTGTCTCTACTGGCCACTGAGGGCACAGGGGTACACCTTAAGGTGCCAGGCCGCCACAGGGTCAACAGCTACCCTGACTTCACTGGTTCTGTGAATATGTGGTATAACGGTAGGTTTCACCATTCACCAGCCTGTAGGAAGTGCTTTCCTGTTTCAAAAACGTCCATTTGGGAGAAAGATCAGTCAGCAGATTGATGAAACATTTAGATGTTTCCTCCAGCAGTAAAGCTAAACGGGCCTGTGATTGAGGAAAAGTGAAGGTTCTCATCACCTCATGAAATCATCCACCCAACCTTAGTGAATGGAGAGAGACTCAGCCTGGTTGATTGGTCTTTATACCCTGTGCTCATGCTGCATTGATCCACACTTTCATGCATAACTCAACAGAGCCACTGATACATGATGCAAATGAGCGATAAGCTGCTAGGACTCCATTAAAGGCACAAAGTCCTGCCACAGAAACGGTTTGAGACGGATCCAGATATCTGGTCCTGGGACTTTGACTGACCGAGTGAGATGCTTCTGGTTGAAAGTCGGCACCGGTGGAGTGAGAACGACGAGTTCTTAGAGGCTTCTAGAGCGACGCCCAGCTGTTGATGTTGTAGTTGATGTTGTGGTTGACGGTGTTTTTTGTTTACCTGAACTTATAACGTTATATATTTCATTGGTTTCCGAGTGCCATTTCTACTTGACTACTGTTACTACTTAGCATTATTTAGAGCTGTTCTTGCTCTGTGTGACTGTGGCTTTATAGCAGAGTGACCTGGGAGTTGTTTGAACTTTGTCTGTACTTTGGTTCCCAAAGGCGGAGCAGACCTGAGATCAGCTCAAGATGATTGGGGATTGATTAGAAACGCCTTGGAGCACCGATATTTAACGAAAAAGGATTGAAACAACCTGAACCATTGGCATCGGTTGTGTCTCTTGAGTCATTGTCTTTTCTGTCTTGGTTTTGACCAAAAGCTCTGAGGCGTTTTTAAGGTAAAGTTACAGATTACAGCTGATTCCAAGCCTTCCTGCTTTGGGAAATCCTGTCTTTATGTCTGTGTTAAAGTCTAAATTACTTATTTCTACTGAATTATGTCACTGAACTATGTTACTATTTCCACATTGACTGGATTTTCACTGAAAATGTAGATTTTTTTTTTCTTGAATTCAAGGCTAAATATAGTAATACCTGACTGGTGCTGCTGTGCAATGCCTGTTTTCTGTTATTCTGCGTCAGCAGGTGTTGGGAGATGATAAATCTAATTTCCATTTTCTAAAGAATTAAATGGAAAACACCAGCGCCCAAACTGAATGAGAAACTAAAGAAATAAACATTTAATACAGTTTTTGGATTAAATGTTAATTTGTTTGGTTTTAGAGACTGGTTTGGTTTGACTAGGCCAGTTTCTTGACCTTAAATCCGAAGCTAGTCAAACCATTTTGGATCTGATCTCTTTTTGTTGACCAGGATTATAATGCTGTCCAGTTCCTTCCCTGTTTACAGGATTTTAACTAATTTGTCTTTTTCCACCTTCATATCCTCACTGGCGTTTCTGTCAGTCGGTGGGAGAAGATTTAAAAAAGATTAAAATCCTGTAATATTCAAATGACATGAGCACTAACTAGTATTATTAGAGGTAATAGTTGGTGTGTGTGAATGTTTGTATGTATGTGTGACATAACTAAACCAGCCTGTTCTAAAAGTGTGGAAATATAATAAAACTGTTGAATCTAAAATGTTTCTGTCTGTAAGTTTAATACTGAAACATTAAGCACCACATTTATACCAAAGCTAATTTTAAAAATTTTAAACTGATTAGCACATTTAGCTTCCACTAAATAAATAATTCAAGATAAATTCTAAAGTGTTAATTTACTCGACTGTTTTGTAAACTTGCAGGTGAAAAAAAATTCAATACAGTTTTGGTTATCGACCTAAAAAATATTCAAGTAGCTAGAACTTTATACTCATGCTCTTATTTTGAAGGGGATGACTGTTTATGGTAAAATCACATGCAGCCTACCATTTAATTCAATAAATGTTTGATAAATGAGAATATTATTGCAAAGTTCAATTCAGTAACTCCATCACTAAGCAAAATAAACACAGACAGATGTTTTCATGCCTTTATTTGTTGATTATGATGATTTTGTGCTTATGGCTAATGAAAACATGACATTTAAGATTAGAATATTACATCAGAATAATCTATATATTTTAAATACACAGATGTGGACTTCATTAAAAATGTCTTTAGTACCTAGGTAAAGGTTATGTTCAAAAACAGGACTTTTAATCTGAATATGACTGAATTTAATGTCAAATTAAAGATTTTTTTGGGTATGATGGATTTCAGTATTGAAAAATAAAGAACAATTCACTTTTTTAAATTCAACACAACCAAATTTTTTAAGGTTTTGTTGGCTCTAGTGGCCTTTATTTGAAAGTAGTTTGACAGGAAGGAGGGTTGTGAGAGAGGGGGAAGACATGCAGTAAATGTCACCAGACTGGGAATTGAGCCTGTGACCACTGGCATGAGGACCTCAATGCATGGGTGGTGCTTTGCCCCTGCACCACCACAGCACCCCCTCAGATTTTAAAATTTTAAGTATAGGAATGTTTTACAGGGATGTTAGAAATCCTGATGAAAGATGTGATGCTAAACAACAAGAAGTTAGCTGAGAATTAGTAATTTAGTCTTGCTAAGAAATATTTTACAAAGCAAAAAAATATACACTGCTCAAAAAAATAAAAGGAACACTCAAATAACACATCCTAGATCTGAATGAATGAAATATTCTCATTGAATACTTTGTTCTGTACAAAGTTGAATGTGCTGACAACAAAATCACACAGAAATCATCAATGGAAATCAAATTTATTAACCAATGGAGGCCTGGATTTGGAGCCATACAAAATGAAAGTGAAATGTTCCCTTTATTTTTTTATATATTTTAAGCAACCATTTGTTAGAAAGTTGTTGTTTTTTTTACAAAAAGAAATCAGATCATTCTGACTGTAAATCAATGAGAAAAGGTTGTAATATTTATTTTTCATTCATTCAGAAAAGGGTAACTAGAAAGTAGTTTTATTTTCTTGGCGGTAAGCTCCGCCTCCTTTCATTTAGCCCCGCCCTCCCAACCTGGGCGGGGACTGACTGCCGCCTTATAAGGCAGCGGCTGTAAGACCACACCCAGACGCCCCTGCAAGTTGGGTGGGGAAACCCCGTCTGGCAGCCTGAAGCTCATTCGCTGGAGCAGAGAGGACAGGAAGAGGAAAAGCTCCAGCCTGGCCAGCGATTCGCCGACGCAGACCCGAGGTCCCGCCCCAAATGGCAGGAAGCAGGTGGGTGTGGCGCGCTGACCTTTGTCGTCAAGGAAACGATCTATGTTAGGAGAGAAAATGGTTTGAATGATGTTTCTGTTGCGTTTGTTTTGATAGATGTGTTGGGTTTTCCTGAGGGTCACCTGGGTTGAACAGGTCCGGCTTGTCCCAGAACCGGGGGTCGTGGTGAATCGACCACATGTTGACCAAAACCCGAGTCCCGCGGCGCACAGCGTGACCGCCAATGCTGAGAGAGGAAACGGGTTTTTAAGAAACTCTTTGAGCTTTTCAACGTTGTGCCGTGTGATCGGACCTACCTGCTGTCGGTCATGGCGGTGTGCGGGATCAGAACCGGGCTGACCGGTCGGATCCTCATGCCCTCGTTGATGACGCAGTCCAGGTAGGGCAGCCGGCCGCGGTCCGACACGCTCACCGCACGATCACCGCCCACGTTCTCATCCAGCTCCCTCTGCACGCGCTCCTGGACCTGCGATGGAAACCCAGAAGTAACGACCGAGACCTGAAGGGCGTCCGGGTCATCATCGGTTTCTAACCGACACGAGTTGACTGGGAACGGAATGAAACGCGACTTAACTGCCTGAAATCCACTAACTAACCGTATTTGTGTTTTTACCTATCCTTGACCAAGTTAGGATGGATTTATGGGCTACAAAACATATTCATTACATTTTTTTCTCAGCCCAACTCAACCTTTACACTCGCATGTGAAAATAGATGCATACAGATGCGTAATTACACCACTTTGAAAGGTAGAAGTGTAGCCTCCTCCACAACCAACAAGTGGTTTCTGAATGATAAATCAATAAAGAAACGCTTGTCTTTTCCAGCAGCCATTAAGCAGCACATACAGTGGGAAACTCAGCTGACCATAGGTGCTGGAGCTCAGCTTGGGTTGCTAGGTAACAGGGCAACCCAACATGACTTAATTGGGAGGATTTTGAAATGGCACCAAAAAACGTTATCTTGTTGCCAAAACAATGGCTGGGTGTTTTTTAAGCACTTTGGCTGGCAGTAGAAGTGCAAATGGAAAAGAAAAATGTCCAAACTGTGAATTTTGCATCATTGGTCCCTTTTAACCATGTATTATTAGGCTACAGAAATCAGGTGTATCACATTTTCTTGAGTTTTTCTAAAATCCTGCATTTTGTTTGGTGATTTCTGTCACTTCCTGGAGTATTTTGACTTGGACGACATATCACCTTTTTGGCCGTTTTGGTGCTCCATACACAAGGAGCGACCGAGTTTGAGATTTTAATGCTCAACACTGTAGATTATTGTTTGCTTACATATGTGCTCACATCAGTTTCATGGCACGCTCTGATTGGTGGAACAAAGACAACGCCACAGAAATGCCGTGTTTGAGCAAAACGTCATGAGAAGGTGATGTTTTGCCCTTTTTGCCCTCTGACCTCAGGGTGGTGCAGCAGGTAGGCCAGGATCCACAGCAGAGTGGTGGACGTCGTCTCCACACCGGCTCCAAACGCCTCCGCTGCTGTCATCAGGACGTGGTCGTCTGTTATCCCCTCTTCTGTTGACCCATGTGACCTCTGACCCCGCCCACTGCCCGTCTGGCCCTTCAGCAGGGCCTCCAGGAGGTCACGGGGGTCACCGTCACCCAGTGCCGCCTGCAACCCACCAGATAGACGATGGAAAAAGAGAAGAGCTCAGAGCTGTAATGAGCACTGCGGCCTGTAGGGGGAGCTGTTGGTCTCTGGTGGTTTTTAACGGTTTTCACCTTGTGCTCCTCCAGTTTCCGGGTCAGCAGTCGGTCCCTCACGGTGATGCACTCCTTCAGTTTACTGAGAGACCTGTTAGGAAACACCTGGAGGACAGACAGAGGCTGGGAGTCAAAGGTTTACAGATTTAATGGAGGAAAATTATTAATAAATGTTTAAAATTCAGCCAAACTTTCACTGAAATCTAAAGCATCAATCAGTTGGGGTTTGTTTTTATGGATTTTAATGAGGAGTTGTAATTTACTCTTTTTATTTTTAGAAAATTTCTGTGAATTGACTTCAAAATTTCTACCTTTTTTACTTTTTCTTTCTTACTTTTTGTTTGTATGAAAATAAATAATGCTGTCATAAATAATATGACAGCATGTGCCTGACATGCCGACATATTATTTTCTCTTCTGCCCATGGATAGTTTTGGTTTTCCTCTGGCTCCCCAGTCGTACCTTCATCCAGGGGTAGATGTCCACCAGCCCGCCCCTGGCGATCGTCTCCACGATGCCGTTGTTGTAGCTGATCACCTCCTGCAGCTCGCGGTCTCCGGGGCCGTAGGAGCTGCTGAACACCAGGGTGCAGACCACGTTGGTGACGGCCCTGGTGATGGCGGCAGACGGGTCGAAGCCCCGCGACCCGTGGGACAGCAGCTCCACGCAGAGACCGTCCACCGCGGACAAAACTGCACAGAAGTTTATGTTACAGTCGCTGCTGGGGTCCAAATACTTAGGATAAAATATCTCCAAACAGTCATGAAAAGTTACTAACTTTAAAAGACAATTTTCTTTGTTTCTAAATGTTTAAAGTGTTCTTGATGAAAATCTTCCCAGGTTTTCTTAAAACGCTGGCTTCCTACATATTTCATAACGATGGACCAGGGACATTGTGAAAAACAATGTACATTTCCACCAAAAAACTCACAATTTTTTAGATTAATCTACGTCATTTTCCTGGGAGAAAAAAGGGAAATTCTGAGCTTCAAAAGTCTAAAATTTGCAAGAAAAAACTAAAATAATTTTGAAACTTATCTCAGAATTCTCTAAGATAAACTTTGAAATTTTCTGAGTTCATAAAGTCAAAAATTTTGGACAATTGGAAATTTTCAAAGTTTAAAAAGTCAAAAAAAGAACCTTTGGATCTCAGAAATTTCCATGTTATTTCTAGAAAATGTTTGTGAATAATCTCAAAATGTCAATTTTTATAATTTCAATAAAAGTGTTTTAGGTTATTTTCCCACAGAGCAGTAATAGTTAAAATCAGTCGCTGTGGCTCCTGAAGCTTGTTTTTCTAATCAGAAACGTGGTGGATCTGGACGGTACCGATGTCCTGCAGCCGGCTGGTTCCCTCTCCAAACAGGGTGAAGGAGTTGTGGACGAGGCGGCGGTGAAACCTCCACAGAGGAGAGTAGTCTGAGAAGGCGATGTCTTTTCCTCCCCGGGTCAGCAGGTTGGTGGTGACCTGTGCAGAATGGAACCCAGTTCATAACATCAGGTTTTTAGTCCATACGTTCATTTTGATGTGTAATTAGAACCTCTAGAAGAGCAAAACAGTTTGATTTAGTCTCTCTTTGTATTATATTTAGGTTAGATTGTTCAATTTGTTCACTATTATTTGTGAACTTTTACTTCTAAACAACGACTTCCGGTTAACCAGCTTCGCTAATCCGCCATTTTTATTTCTCGCAGCGATTTTGCAGTGACGACAAAAATTATTTTAAAAACATCAGTTTGTGTGCCATCTGGACCCAGTCGTTGTTTTGCTAGCAGTAGCACGGGCCTTCTGCTAATGTTAGCACTGTGTGCTAGCTGTTAGCATCTTGAGTACACAACGTCCTGTCTTTTTTAATAGTTTTATTACATAAAGACTTTTTGTTCTGTAAAACCTTCAGCAACATTATTGAAGCTAGCATTAGCTAACTTTCTAACTATGTTTATTTAAATGTGAAACAGGGATTTAAAAACATGTTATGTCCACTTTAACACATTTTATACTTACATGCATACTCAGTATTTTTAGCAAGCTTACTAAAAACTGGCTCCCAGGTTGTTTATTAATAAGATTCAAAAATGGAAATTAAATTTGCTCCTGTTTTTTAAAATTAGATTCAGGTTTTAGAACGTTTTCTGTTTCCTAAAATCTGGAAACTCCAGGCTGTAAATGAAAAATGAAACAGTAGCCCTTATAAACAATTACTGCTATATTTTTGCATATATAATTGCTCAAAGCCTATTAGAAATATATTTTAAGGAGTCAAAACCTTTAAGGTCCCATGTTGAGACACCAGGGGGCGCTGTAGGAAAATGTTGTAGTAAAGGAAAAGAAGAAATGAAAAGAGTGATTCACTCCACAGGGAAAAATAAAAGTCTTGCTTACAATTATTTTTCCTCAGAGTTAAAAACCTAAATTTATTCTACCTAAAATATCCAGTATGATCAAAACATTTCCAAAGAAAAGTGTCTGAGACGTGACTCTGGTCCTGAGCAGAGTTTCAGGTTCTGCAGGGAAACATTTCGGTGTGTTTTCATTAAGCTGACGGCTGCTGGCGTTTCTGACCATGTCGGGACGTCCAGCGAAGTCCTTGCCCCTCTGCAGCAGCACCTCTCTGGCGTGTTGATGGTTGTTCACCACCAGGGTGTAGTGAGGGCCGAGGTAGAGCGCAAACAGAGGTCCATACCTCAGAAACAAGCACAGGGTCAAAGGTCATCATCAGGTAGAACCAGATGACCGTCCAGGATTAGAGTTTTCTTCCTGAAAATCTCATAATCCACAAACAGATCCGTTCAGATTGAAGAATCCGGACCGTATCTAGCTATCAACACATCTTCCTTCCTCCTCTGCATTAAATTCTGTTTTAAGAAGTTAACTAGTCTTACAGATATTAAATTAAACATAATTCAGTTCAGATCCGAGTCTTAACTCGTCGTTTTGAGCACAAACTACTAGTCATAAAGGCTCGTTAAGGAAATCTACCAACCCAAAGATAACTAGTAGTCTAGTTGTGGCATTATCTAGAATAGAGTCAACAAAACAACCAGTGTTCAGATGTCAACTAATCAATCTGTACACATTAAACTATGTCAAAGACTGATTAATTTTATATATTTTAACGTGTTTATGAAAATTAATTAGTACCTCAAAATATGATAATTAACTAAACACAAACTAGTCCATTAAATATTAGTTCAATCCAAACCCAAAAAGTCATTCCTCTGGCTAACCAGCATTCCCACTGATAACTAGTCCTCTCTAAACCCAGTTGCTAACCAACCCGTCCTGCAGCGTCTCAGACTCACCTGTAGGTCAGCTGGGTGAAGAGCAGGTGAGGAGGAAGGCCTCCGCCCAGCCAGGGGAGGCTGCCCAGGACCGGGAGGCGAGGCAGGCAGGGGACGGGCTCCTGGACCGGGCCGGGGCCCCGCACCGGGCCGGGTGAGTTCTGACGTTTAGCTTCCTGACCTGACCGACGGGAGAACAGAACCAGCAGAACCACGATGAAGAGGAGGAAGAGGATGAGGGGGGGGGGGGCAGAGGCCAGCAGAGCGGAGAGCATGGCTGCAGCGAGGAAGAGGAGAATGAGGAGGCGACGAAGAACCCTGACTTTAACCAGCCAGGGAGGAACCTTGGAGAGGTCAGAGGTCACGCCTGCGTGTTGTTATGACAGATGTTTGACCGTGACTGAGTGTGTGTGTGTGTGTGTGTGTGTGTGTGTGTGTGTGTGTGTGTGTGTGTGTGTGTGTTTTCCTTCATCGGGTGGCCTTGGTGTTATCAGGCTGAATGCCACGGGTTGCCATGGAAACCTTAAAGGAGAACAGCCTGTCGACTCTGACCAGGTTTTCTTTCTTGACTCAGTGAAGGAGACCGTTTAGGTTTCTGTCAGAAGAACTTTAGACCCAGTCTGACCCGGTTAGTCCTGGACCGGTTCTGGTCCAGTTGGACCGGTTCTGGTCCGGTTTATCGGTTCATTCTGGACGGTTTTTGACCCATTTTAGTCTGAGGTGTTTGGTTATGGCCTGATTTGCCTCAGGACTAAATCAAACTCGTCATGTTTGCTTCATTCTGTTCTGAAGTTTAGTTCTTGTTTTATGTGTTATTTTGCGTCGTGGTTCTGGTCCGTTTTGAACTTGGTTTTATGAGGTAAAGGTTTGATGGTTTTAGACTTTATTACCTGGATTTGGACTTAATTTAGCAAAACTTTGAAGACATAAATGTTGACCTCATTTTCAACCAGCTGAAATTGTTTTAGACAGTTTTTCTCTTCATGAAGCATAAAAACTGTTTCTGGAGACATTTCATCTATTTATCAGAAGAACTTTACATTAGAACCGTTCTGACCCGGTTAGATAGTTGAATGGGTCTTTCTCTTCTGTGGTTCTGGTTCAGGAATCTGTATCAGCTCTGTTTCAGCTGGAGCGGCATCAATCTGATATCAATAACTGTATTGATCCTGATACTGAAAAATATTCTAGATTGGGTATCAGTGACAATGTTCCTGATCTATAAGTGCAGATCTATTCAGTCAAACTCTATGCTTTATGTCATGATTTATTATTTATTTTACATTATATTTGGGATTCCTAATTTAACTTTCTGAAACATTTGAAAGGTTTGTTTCAATTTATTTTCATGTTTCACCAAAGTAGTTAACGTTTTGTTTGTGTCAGATTCTTCATTTTTTATTTTAAATTTGCTGTTTTTGTCCTAAATTGTCTGAATAAATTAAAGTTTTACGTGTCTGACCAGTAGCTTGTCGTTAATTGTGCTGCACTGATGCAGAGTTATTAAATAAATTGGTAATTCAGTACATTTATGTTTCAGTTTAAGAAAATAAACATTTTAAATGAATTCAGCTGTTTTTCTGTATCGGTTCTGTCCGATGCTCAGATATCGGTATCAGAAGTGATAAAACTGGATCGCTGCGTTCATAGTTCAGTTTGTGTCTGGATATTTCTCAGTCATGATGCATTCCTGTTGAATCATTTCAGACTTTGTGAAGTTGATATTTTGGGTTTTCTGGCAGAGTTCTGCCTGTTTTGTAGCTAAATTTAGTCCAGCCTGAACATTTGCTCTCTCTCTCCTGCTGCCGTTTCCCTGATGGCGGCCATCTTAACGTTGGAACTGATCCATTAACTTTAAGAAACGTGTGAATCAGCGGCGCGGCTGACGCCACCAGAGTCCGAGCGCTTCAGCGTCTCTGTGGCGGTGTGTGTGCAGCCGGCGGAGGCACGCCGCCATGGCAACAGCGCCCACACACACATTTCCCCATCATCTGTCCTGATATAGCGCGTTGACACGGCGAGGCGAGCGGAGCGGTTCTGGTCCGTCTCTCTTTGGCAGAAAAACTGACAACAGGTGCTGCTTCAACGTCTCGGCTAAAAAAATCCCCCTGGAGGTCAAACACACGGCGCCTCTGATGTAAAACCCTGGAAGAGGAGAAAGAAACGCTCTGCTTCATGTTTCAGCGCCGGGTGCTTCGCAATCTGTTGCTTTAGTTAAAATAATCCTGGGAAAAGTGAAACATAAAGGCTGGTTTCAAGGTTTTAATCTGCCAAAAACTGGACAGTTTGAACTGCTGGAGAGCCACAAAATTCAATAAGAAAATGCAAAAATTAGTTTATTGTAATTTCTTTGGGGGGTGGGGTGTTAGCTTTACCTCCTCAAAGGTAAAGTTTTCTAAAATTAAATCTGTGTATCATTAAAGATCCAAAGCATAAAACTGTTTTTTTTATTTTAAAAAAACAGACAATTTCTTATTATTTTAGTAATGCGTTGCTTTCTATTCAGTGGTAAAAAATTTTCCATCCTGACTCCTGAACAACTGATTTGTTTTCAGGAGCCGAACAAAATCATTTTCATGGCCACAAATGGCCCCCGGACCGCACTTTGGACCCCTCTGGTCTAAATGAAGATCTGATGCAAAGTTTTACCTTCAAACCTCAAAAATCTGCCAGAAGTTTTCACGTTATAAAAACCCAGAACATCGTTTATCATTTATGCTGGTAAATTTACTATAATAATTTAATCATGATTAATTCCAGTTAAAGATATTTAAAAGTCTCCAAAATGTCCACATTGTCTGGATTGGTAGTTTCACTATTTTCTCCACTGTTTGGTCAAAGAAAGCATCAATAAATTTCGAAATATGATTAAATCCAGCTGATGTAAATCAAACTTTTTATATGATTGTTGTCCTAAAGATGTTTATTATAAACAGGAATGTTTTTCAAGTAGCATTTGTGTTTGTGGGGCCATAAATGCTGTGACACACAGTTACCTAAAAAGTTTTGATAATTATTTTATCTTTATCGCATCGCTAACCGCTACCTGAACATATTTTATTGAGGTTTTATGTGATCAATTAACACAAAGCAATGCAGGAATGTGAATCACAAAGAAAACCAGACATGATTTAAACATTTTCTGAAAAGTGTGGTGGACATTTGTATTTAACTCTTTCTCTGCAGATCCAGCTGGTTGGTCTCCACCAATTAGCTGAATGTTTTTTTCTCTTCTTTACAAAACAAGTTCAGTCCGATTGGATGCAAGGCACCAACGAACGTCAGTTAAATCTATCCTTAGACTTTGATTAGGCCATTCTAGCATATCAATTTCATTTGATCTAATCTGTGTTTCCATTAGCATTTCATTTTGAAGTTTTGCATTAGAAGTTGATAGAAATGCCAAAATAAAATAAAATAAAATAAAATAATAACATTTTGAAGAAAAAAAGGTTTTACGCTCATTTGATGTGATTTTTGGTTTTTCTGAAATACTTAACGAAGTAAAGAGGAGATGGAAATACATTTACAGAATAAGTTCTGATGCAGCGAATGGTTCCATCAACTGGAAAGAGCAAAGATGAGGAAGGTTTACACCGATCCTTTATTAATGGATATTTGGGGTCTGAACTGCTAATAGGCAGGAATGAGTGTTTTAAAGAGGCTCTGCTCCTAACCAGCCCAAATTATCCACTGTAGAAGACATTTTTAAAAATTATAACTTATCTTTTATCAAATTGTTGCAACGTTTGGAACTCTGAATTAGCAGCTATGTACTTTCTGACACATTATTGTTATTTTTAAAGCACAAACGGCTGTTAAATGCAGAAAATGGTGACTAGAAATTTTCTGCCATCGCTTCTGGCGCCCCCTCTGGCTCGGCGCCCGCATGCATCGCATTTAGAGCGTACAAACATTTACAACTGAAACTTTGGGTCCCTGATGCCTTAATATTATATATTAAACGATGCACAAGATTGAAAAGTTACATCTGAGCAAGTTAAGGGTTTAAATTTAATTTTACTGAAATAAAAATGTATTTTTCCATGTTTTAGGGGAACAAATAGACATGGAGGGCAGCTAATTTTCCTGTTACGTAACACTTCTGCTTGTTTTGGTTTACATGGAGGGATGAGAACGACGTGAATCTCAGAGGACGATCCCGACGCTCCGAACAGAACCAGGGGGTTCTGCAGGTTCTGATGATCCAGCTCCTTTTATGTAACGCTGGCCTGGATCCTCCATCCGTCTCCATGGCGACTACATCCCAGCAGCTGCATGTGGCTGTGCAGGAATGTCACATGTGGGCCAGTGATGCGTCTGCAGTGCTGAACCGGTGGCGCAAAAAAGTTGTGATACGCACTAAGCGGGCGCCGCTCTGGAGGGGGCGCCATAAGCGACGGCAAAAAATAATTTCTAGTCCACATTTTCTATGGCTTAGCAGCTAATTATGCTTTGAAAACCACGCTTTGTCTGTGTCTGCTCGGTGTGAACATCTCTAACTCGAATGTTGCAACAAATTAAACAAATTTGGGTCTGTGGAGTCCCATGAAATGCGCCAAAACCCGCGATCTGAGTCTCCCTCCCGTGTTTCCTGTCTTCTCCCGGTTGTATAACCTCTCTCTGCCGCAGTGAAGGAAACCCCTCTCTCCGCTCCCCGACGACGCTCTGCCGCCTGTCCTTTTAAGGCATGGGGGATACCCGCCGTCACAGCCGGAAGCAGCCCAAATTTGGTCAGCTGAAAGGGGCACGGCGGGGGGAATCCCTCGCGCCGGTGTCGACCAATAAAGGCAAGACGGGAGTTACCTTGGAGACGGAGAGTATAAAAGGGAGAGCCGGAGAGCGCTCAGCATCCTCAGCCTCTCAGCCCGGCAGCAGCCGCAGCTTAAACTGGATTAACGCCTCGCTTCTTAGGGGGAATCCCGGATTTAATCATAAAACCTGAGAAAAAGATGCTTCTGGAGCGCGACGACAGCTTCATGTCTGAGTTTGAGGACGCTTGCAGCGCCTGGGTGGACAGCGTGGGGTCCAGCCCCAGCGACGGCGCGGACTCTGACGTGGGATCACCGTTCAGCCAAGGTGAGTCTCCAGCATCCCGCTGCATGTCATGCAACCTGCATCCTGCAGCTGCATCTTCATGGTGTTTCTGTCATTATGCAATAATAACCCCCTCCCCTCCCTTTCTGCAGTTTTCTCTCCGGGAACTGACGCCTCGGACTCAGACTTCTTCTCCGACTTCAGCGACTGCTCCTCGGACACTCTCTCTCCATCGCTCGGCTACACCGGAAGCTTCTTCGCGGAGCCGGAGCCCACGGCCGCGGGGCTGAGCAGCACTGCCGACGCGATCCTGAACATGATCACGGAAATTGTGGGAATCTGCACCGAGATGGAGCAGCAGCAGCAGCCCGCCCCCGACTTCAGCATACCTCCTGCAGCCGCGGAGCCGCAGCCGCCTGCAGCCCCCGCTTCAGCTCCAGTGGTGATCAAATCGGAGTTCGGGAGCTCCAGCTGCAGCAGCGGGTGTTCACAGCCCTCCACGCTCGGGAATGACGCTCTGTTCCCGGCTGCAGCGGACTCTCTGCTCCCGCTCATGGCACTGGAGCAACAGGTGGACATGGCTGATTTCATCGAGTCTCTGCTGAGCTCCGAAGCCGGGCAGGGCGAGCTGAAGCCCGGCTGCGAGGTGAAGCAGGAGCCGCTGGAGCTGGAGGACTGGCTGAAGGGTTTACCGGTAACCGGCGGGGAATCCGGTAACTACGTCATCAGCAGCACCCCCTCCACCCTGGACGCGCACCTGCTTTCCTCCCTCCTGCAGGGCGCGTTCCCGATGGTCAACATCAGCAGCGTGCACGCGCCCGGAGCGCCAAAGCAGCAGCGCGCAGGGCGCAGAGCGCACGCGCGCGGTGGCGTGAAACCAAAGCCGTTCCCGTGCTCCGTGCAGGGCTGCGAGCGCCGCTTCTCGCGCTCCGACGAGCTCAACAGGCACGTGCGCATCCACACGGGCCAGAAGCCCTTCCAGTGCACCATCTGCGCGCGCAGCTTCAGCCGCAGCGACCACCTGACCACACACACGCGCACGCACACCGGCGAGAAGCCCTTCTCCTGCGACGTGTGCGGGAAGAGGTTCGCGCGCAGCGACGAGAGAAAGCGGCACGGGCGCGTGCACGTGAAGCAGCAGCTGCGTGCGCAGATGATGGCCGCCTACTCTCTGGCCCTGAACGCGCCCGGCGTGTAAACACAGGCACGCGCTCCCTCTACGCGGAGTTTTGGAAGCTTTTCGGATTTGAACCGACAACCGGAGAGACATGTGACGTCACACCGGTGTACAGGTGCTGGGAGGCGCATGCGTGTATGCGGTGCCTGAGGGTTCGGGTTCGGGTTCGGGCCTGGCCCGGCAGCCGACCGGGCCTCCGCCGCCTTAAAGGGGCAGTGCGCCCCCTGCAGGACGGATCCTGCTGTAAAATAAAACCAGTTTCTTCTGCATGAAGCCGTAAAGAGACTCTGTGAATGTCGACGTCAGAATGTCGTGCTTCTGTTGTTGATATTTCCATGTAAGCAGCTCTATATTTGAGGAGTTCCATGTTTGTAACATATCTCTATTTTTCTAGACGGACTGTCTACCTCTCAGTGTCGCAGTTTTACAAGCAGGGTGTGAATATCTTAGAGATGTTTCTCTGGCACATGAACGTGAAACACGATGTCACTTTTTCTATGAAACGACTGTACGCATTCCGCGGACTCTGAACGAACCCGTGTGTGCAGGTCCAGCTGCACCGATGCATTGTGGGATATGTTGTCCTGTGTTCTGTGGTGTGAGATCTGAAGCACACCTGCTCAGTGAGAGCTGAGCGCTGAGTAGCACACATGACTGTGCGAGTTTACTGTTCCCTCATTCTGCATGGAGGCTGTTGTTGCTGTTAATAAACAAAACAAAGCGGATCCACTGAGTCCGGCTGTTTCCTCTGCACCAAAACACCAACAGAACCCCTCACCTTTCACACATTTAGTCATGCTAGTGAGTAAAAAAGTATTTCAGATCATTTTTAATATCAAAACGTTTCCATTAAAACTGCATTAATCAACACAGAGCCCTGAGGGACACCATCTCAAGCTCTACAGGTCTACATTCAAAGATGCCACTTCAAGCTTTATGGGGCAGAAAGGAAGTCTCACCCTTATAGCTGCAGTACCTAACTTTTATTTTAAAGGTTTTTGTACATATTTGTTTAACCTGTCACCATTTTGCACAGTTTGTTATGAGACAGATAACCAATGAAAAGATCACTCTGCCTGAGCTTCTATTGTCGTCTGAAGAAATGCACCGCTCCCGGTCAAAAACAACCAATCAGAGCCAGGAGGAGGATCTTAGCGCTGTCCATCAACCTCATGTACTCGCTAACTGTGCTAAAGGCACAACTTACTGTTACAGGAAAACTATTTATCCAACGTCATCGGATCAGATCAGAAGCTGCAGGAAGATCAGGGGTTGAGGGTGATTGACAGCACTAAGATCCGCCTCCTGGTTCTGATTGGTTATTTCTAGTTAACACTGGCAACTTGGTTGTTTCTCCTCTGGCAAAAGGCAGAGGAGATTCCATCTTTTCACAGATTATCTGTCTCAAACTCACAACATGGTGACAGTTTCAACAACAAAAAAACAAAAAAACAAACAAACAAACAAAAAAAAAATATATATATATATATATATATATATATATATATATAGCACACAGCAGCTTTAACTAAAGGAGATTAAAAGCTCTTCACAACAATCAGGCAATGTGTGAAAATATCACAGCTCCCTTGATAATTCATGATTCAACTATGATTAAATCACATTTTATGGTGCAATTTCACTCATAAACTAGACCTGATTATGACCAGATTTGTAAAATAAGGAATTCACTCAAAGTGAAACACAAAGTAGGCAAATAGAGCTTAAAGATATGTTTAAATATGTGTTTATGTGTTTATGTGTTTATTGACAAAAAATATTTAATTTGGGTCGCATTCCCTGTTGTTTGAACAGACTTATTCTGACGAGAGCTGTGACATTTATTCACGTTAAGCCTGTCCCTATAGTTTTAACATAACTAATTTCATTGTAGGTAGAAATTATATGAAGTAAATTTCAGTGGGAAAAAAAATCTGTGAAATTATCTAGAAAAAAGGAAATTTTTTTAGTTTGAAAGTCAAAAATTTGTTAGAAAAAACTCAGATATTTTAAGATTAATATAAAAAAATTAGGAATAAACTTGAACATTTCTGAGTTTCAAAAGTCAAACATTTTCTTATTTCCAAGTGTTCAATAAACTTTCTAAGATCAATCTCAAAATTGGCAGAAATTTACTGCTTTATTTCCTGTCGGCATTGGCCCTAATACACTGTAGTATTTATGTCTTCAGCTGTGTGAATACTTTAATCGGAAGCTCATCATCGCCTTAAACTAGAAGAGACAGGACAGCAGCATCTATTGTGGAGACATGATGGAGGCTCAGGAAAGAGTGGGCCGCCGGTTGCCATGGTGATCCCGCCATTTCTGGGAACAAAACTGTAAGTCGCAGTTGATTTTACGTTGGAGATTAGACCGGTTTAAAAAAACAACAACCCAGAGCTGAAATATAAGATGAGTCTGAGTGAAAGGCGGCAGAAAGATCCAGGTATGAGGATCAAACGAGTTAAAATTTAAATATTTCTGAATATTTCACAGGATCAGGGAGTGAGACACTTCAACTGGCGCCTAAAAACAGCTCTTCATCGGTCGTCTTCATCAGAGAATCTCCGTCCAGCCTTCTACAGGCTGCGGTTGCCTAGCAACAAACGATTCCATTAACAGTTCGTCAGGTGGTATGAACTGCGAAGGCCGAGTTTCCATGGTAACAACGTTTCACCCACGTCGCCGCTGAGTTTTTGTTATTTTGTTGTTTTCGCCGTTGAGTCTCTGAAGGAAAGATGTTTAGAAACCTTCATCGCTGCAGCTGATGATGATGATGATGATGATGATGATGATGATGATGATGATGAGAGTGACTTCTGGTTAGGTTGAGCTGTTTCTCTGTTCATGGACGTCTTACGCCACCCTGTGGCTAAATACTGCAACTGCAACTCCTCTACAGTAAAATAAAATAACTATCTTTGAGTCGACTGAGTTAATGAAGCTGATGTTAAAGGTTAGAGGTCACAGCATCAGTTAGAATAGAGAAGCACAAAAATATATAACAAATAAACTACATTTTCTCATGTTGCTGCCGTCTCCAGTTAACAAAAACTTGTTAGAGTACAAAATATGCCGTAGATATTTTAAAAATTCTCCCTTTTCTTCCAGCTTTTTCAATATTTGCTGTTTAAAATAGAGGATTTTGTACACGATCTGGCTTTAAGGCAGTTAAAATGAACATTTCTTAAAATCAAAAACATTCAGCCTCATCATCAAAAATCTAAAAATAAGAGAACTGATTAAAAGCAACGTTCCTCAAAGAAAGCAGGAGGGAATTTCAATATTTCTCCAGTGCAAAACATTAAAACCAGTCAAGGAATAAGGCTTTGATCTCCTCTCTTTTATGCATCCTTAAATATCATCCATCAATAAAACTGATCAGGGATTACTTTCATTTTTATTTGATCAATACATTTAGATTCCAAATCTTCATTTTCAAAATAAAACTGTGGTTAAAACAAACAAAATGAGATCAATCGATACAAGAAATTAACTGAAAATCTATTTTAAAAACTGAGACATGTCCGTCTGAGTTTCTAAACCTTCCTCTGATTTAATATCTAAGGCATCAGGTCATGTTAGTCCCTTATTTTGAGTGGAAGGAAATACATTTTTCCCAACTGAAGGAACGCTAACTGTAAATAAAAACCTGAAACAGTTTGATTTTCATATGAAAACCAGAGCTACTGATGTTTTTATAATAATTTTAAAGGCTGTACCATCTAGATAAAGATGGAGACGTAAATCAGAAAGTTTCTGACTCCTATAAGACCCAATACAGCGCCCTGAGGGACGCCATCTAAAACTCTACAGTACAGATCTACATTCAAAAATGTCAAACTCCTGCTCTTTCTGAAGCTCCGCCTCCAGGAAGTCGTTTGCTAACGGCTGCTGGCTAGTCTGAAGGAGCTGAAAGTGGGAGGAGCTGCGTCTCGAAGGCGGAGCTACGTCCAACCAAGACACTGTGTACAGCTGAAGGGTTGCCATGGAGATTGAAGGATTTCTTAAACATGCATGAAGGAATCAAATCAAATCTCCAGGTTTGTTTTTTATACCATGATGTACGTAAAGCTCAAGTTGATTTTATATGATACTGCTCTTTAAAATTTAGTCAAAACCAACTGTTTTGAGAAAAAGCAATGAACTTATTTGATAATCATACTGTGTATAATTTTAACATGTCAGCGCTCAGAGCCCATTTGTTGGTTGTGTAAACAGAAAATGTGTCGTGACTCCCATCATGACCAGGCAGGTTATGAATAAACTTATTTAATGAGAACCGGCTGTTCAAGCCTCTTCACAGACGACACAGAAGCTGTCCTCTTCATCACAGGATGAACTCTGCTGCTGTTCATCTTCAGCTGACATGGTTTACTTCCTGCTGCTGCAGAGCAGCACAGCACCAAGTGATTTTTACATGTTCTGAGATTTCTTTATGTTTTAAGGCACTTCTTCAGATAGACTTGATTTATTTTGGTTAATTTCAGTTAGTTTTTATGGATAACAGAGGAGTGAAGACATAGCAAAGTACGGCAGATAAAAATGGAAAACCCTGGAAAAAGTTGTGAGTTTTGACACATTCAATGCACAAGACTCCACTCCTGAAGAAACAATCTAATGAAGTTTGATTAAACTGAAAAAATAATTTTTTGGATGTGATTCTACAGCCAATTTTCTGAAACAGAATGGTTCTTCACTGGCTTCAGAGAAAGAAAGTAAAACTTCAAGAAAGACAGACAGTCGGCTGACTCTTATGCAGCTGGAAATATCTGGAAAGAGATTTTATTATTATTAAAACAATAATTAAAAAGCAATAATAAAAACAAATGGACATAAAAAGGACACAACATAACTATTATTATTATTATTATTATTATTAAAACAACAACAACAACATTAACACTAATAATAAAAACAGGTAAAAACACTAAAAACGCTGAAACAAGCCTGATTTATCAGCAGTGACACGTCACGCGGCTCCTACGTCATCAGGAGCACGCGGCGGCTGCTCGCTGTGACGGTGCGCGCGGGGCGGTGGTGCATCCGGTTCTGTTTTGATCCATCCTGCAGCTCCGAGAGCCGCTGCCGGTACCGGACGGTCCGAAAAACCCAGACGACCAAGAGCAGGAAACCATGGCAACGGGTTCGGTTGAAAAGGAGGCGAGGAGAGAGTGACGCAGCGACGGACCAGCAGCTGATCAATAATCAGAGGTATCGATTGCTGTTAACTTGGGGGATCAGTTCCCAACTTTAATGTCCCTGAGGGGGAGAAAGTTTCTCTGAATTAGCCTCACATCCCAGTCAATCAGTTATCAATCAATCGATCAATCAGCTGAAGATTTTCATTCAAACTTTGAGTCATTTCAGCTTCAATCTAATTAAATTAACTGTAGATCATTGAGATCAATATTTCAATAAGATGTTATGTTGTAAATAAAAATATAATTATCAGGCAAACTGTCATCTGATCAGCATGCAGTGACATTTAACTGAGTAATCTGTTAAATGTGTCATTTTTCTGATATCCTGGAAATATTTTAAATTATTTTGAGAAAAATGTGAGTCATGAAGCCCCTGCAGTTTTATGGGCATCATTTATAAAATAACAGTGAAAAATTAACAATAACTTGGATTATTATCTTATTGCTATAAAAGAGTCACATTTTCACCATGTTATTAGTTTATTTAAATTCACATTTATTGCAAATTGTGAATTTTTTTT